CGTGCAGTCGCTTTTTAAGCCAAGATTCTGGAGAATTTGAACACACTCTCGTCCCATGACAGAACGAAAGGTGGCAAGACGAATTTTTTCGCTTCTCTTATCGAGACCAGTCGCTATTTCGTAATCCCTCCATTGCTGAAGAAAAAACTCCCAGTTACCGACTTGATCCCCTCGACACATCATCGGAGTTGGTACTGGAAAATTTGACGGTACGCTAATTTGCGGGTCGTTGGTTTCTGGCATGTTTGTCGTTGATTCACTCCTCCACGCACGTGGTCGTTGTTATTAGACTATTTCCAAGATATTGTTGATTCTGTTCGATCCTTCGATTCACTTCGAGCTTTGTTGTCTGTTTTCCGGATCTGTTTGTTGACGTTCTTGGTTGTTCGTTGTTGTTTTAGCCTAAACTACTGTGTTTCTGACACCATGTTTCGTCGTGTGCTTGCTCGTTCATTAGACCAACTAATGACAACGTCTAATTTACATAACATCACGTGACTATAAAACTACAATACGTAACAATGATGAATATCGTTACATCTGGTTTTATGTGGCAAATAAAACCGGATGTAACGCAGGCTATTCCTGGGCAGACCGCAAAAATCAGCAACCCTACCGTTTGAGTAACGATCATTTGAATGAGTTTCGTAAAATCAAAGGACTTTTAGCGGCTAAGACGACAGATTCAGGATGCATTTCAGATAATAACTAAAACTTTATTTACTATCGGCTATCATAGGTTGGATAAATTAAGCGACATCTCGACCTTATAGGTCATAATTTCAGTGATCTAGCGCCCTTGATGCACTCACTGTCGAGAACTCTTTAGACCACAATCTTTGTCAAGAGACGATCGAGAAATAACGGAATAATGATAAAACTGAAACAGAAAATATGAACTCGAGGTTAATACTTGTTTGAATTAGTGCTCTGAATAATAAAAACAGCAAGAAAAATCAAAATAACACAACAAAACTAGACTCACCTCAAGAACACAAGCTAATGTAAACACAAGGGAGAAAGAACATCCGGGAGTGTTCACCCTTTTATAGTGGCGCAAAGGAAGACGGTTAATGAAAACGTACTGCATCCTGGGATAAAATCGAGAAATTTTGCCCTTCTCCAGATTAGAGTTGCTGCCTACGCTTCGCTCGCTCAGGCTCGCTACGCTGCGGCAGCAAAAACTAATTTAAAATGTGATGATTTGGCCCGGAGTGTCGACTTTTTCCAATCGCTGACGGACCAGGCTGTTCCCAGTCGACCTTTCGATAACACCTTTCGCTGGTAATTCTGCTGTATTGAGGCCATAGAAAGAGTGTACTGTTGACACATTGAAACCAGTACTGTCATAAACAGTACAAGACTGGTCCACTCGAACATATGACAGCCACTGATTTCACTGGACAAAGCTCTTTAACAATCGCTTCAACAAGGTATGACTTTCCCGTACCGGCTTGACCGGTAACGAGAACTGTGGCCTTTGACGACAAAGTCGAGCACTACCTCTTGCTCATCAGTCAACCTATCGCATTATTTAAATTACAAAATTTGTAACATTTATTGTTGACAATGTTATACAATCCAAATGAGATCTGGGTGATTGATTTGCGACCAGGCCTRCATATGAATTCGCCAAGGTTGTAAGCCAGTGAGCCCGTGCATTTTTGTKAAGCGGTCATATTTGAAAGTGTTAATAAAGAAAAGGGAAAACCCGCAGCTCGCCTTTCACTCACACAAACAGTTCAAGTCGTGCCGAATTTATTTAAATAACTAAACAAAATTATTATAGAAATAAAACTTTAAGTATCGGAATGCTCATATGAAACATTTTCCACCTTAAATACACACGTGTTTTTCAGAAGGGAACTTTTTTCACGATGGAATTTTGTTTTGAGTCGTTTCGACATAAACAGTCGCTATCAAGACATTACACGAAAAACCCCAGTCATCGTTCTAGCTCTCGTTGTATAGTAAATTCAAAGCTAGTAAATGTGTAATTGACCTGTTACGTAACGTCAAATCGTCGAGCACGCTTGCGGCTTATTGCCGAAAATGCGTCAAAGGATGAACTACGACAATTGATTTGTACCAAAAATATTAAACGCTTTAACTCTATTGGAATAGATGGAGATAAGCTGCTCTAGGTCTTCCAGTAATGTTGTAGATACCTCAAAGCTTAGAGGAAACAAGAGTTAAGAAAAAGGATTTGCAATGTCTCCTCCAAACATATTTTGGACTTGAACGTCGCTTCAACGACCTTCTGAAGTCTTCTTGAAGTCGGCCATTGCTTCGCATGCAATGGAGAACCCGCGCAGAACACAGAACAATTATTTTTATCAGGGAGGGGAGTCTTGTTGTCTTAAAGAAAAAATTATTTGTTATTTCATTTTTAAGATAAAATTCTATTTCTATAACGATAAATATTTGATTTACATTTAAAAGCTATTTTATAAAGATTTTCAATTTCTCTTTGCGTTTTAGCTTCGATTTTKCRGRTGGAATAAMATGACAGGCAGCCTACTCTACTGGGTCGAGTTTTGCAGTGCAAATTCCTCCTGTCGGGGGGTTATGTTTACAACATAAGCCTGTCAGCTTTGCGCTGATTGGCTAGTCGCATTTTCTCAAATCACCCAGATAGAGTTCAAAAGGATTTTGACTACTTGAAATTTTTGTTGTAGATACTCACATTTTCAGTACGTTCCCCCAAACATAAGAAACTAGACGCTTGTAAAGCGTGATGCGGGCTAGCTTAGCAAAAGATTCACAATACAAGATAAAAATTGTATCTCCAATGAGTATTGTGACTATGACGTACTATATATGAAAGTAAAATATGCCGTCGAATACCTTAGTTTTCTTTGCAGTTCAATTCTTATCGTTAACCTTCACTGTCTGCTATAATCTTATCATATATTAACTATCAACCATAATCTTTTTGCTATAGTGATTGTCCTTTATTTGCAATGTATTTTGTAAAAATATTTATGAAAGCTCTTTACTTCTTGGTTAGCGATATCACATCTATTATTATTTACATAGCAATGCATTTTAGATGGCATGAGTGCATTCTTTAAATTTTGTTTTTATTATTAGCCTTTCTTTCGTACAAAAGAAATCTAAAAATTGAAGCAAAACAAAGCTCAATTTCAAAACTTGTACTTTGTCATTTCTAACTAATAAAAAAACCCGATGATATTAAAGCAATTTCTTTGAATTTAAACAATAAAAACATTGTCAATTAAACAAAAGAATACCTTTTGCTGTCTATAAATGTGGAAAAAGCCAGTATTTGAGCTGATTTCATGTTGAAGCTGTACTGAATAATCATCGAGCTGGACTGGTGAGGAAGGCGAGACTATTTTCGATGCAAAATCGTCTTAAAATGATAACTAGCAAGCTTGAAACTTCACAAATGCAAAATCCTAGTTCAATTCTTCAATGAGAAAGCTTTTGGTATTTCTTGTTGATAGTTTTTGAGTACTTTTTTCTCTGTTATCGGCGAAGTACCCGCCATTTTGGATTCTTGAGAAAATTTTCAGTTCGAGAGAGACTGCAAACTAATAGTAAAGATATGAATATGAAGACCGCATGGCACTATGATAAACATGATATAGAAATGAAAGAAAGTTATAGTGCTTAGAAGGAGGCAATTCCGGGAGAAGTCCCTTAGGAATAAATTCGGAAAAATTAATTTCCGACCTAGCTGGGATTAGAACCCACGACCTTCGGATTTGTACACGCGCATGCTCGCCACGGACCACAGGGAACCCATCGGTTCCTTGGAGATTGATTTTCTTTCAACAACACAATATCTCCTGCCTTAAAGTTTCTTCTTGGGTGTGTCCATTTGATTCTTGATTGTAGTTGTTGTAAATATTCTTTGCTCCATCTCGACCAGAATTCTTGTGCCAAGTGCTGCGTACGTCGCCATTTCTTTCTACAGTAGAGGTCGTCTCTTTTGAATTCTCCAGGTGGAGGCAATACTAGCTTGGTTTTTCCAGTCAGTAGCATACTTGGCGACAGAGGCGGTTCAGATAGGGGATCACTGAGTGTTTCAACTGTTAGAGGTCGGTGATTAATGGTGGCCTCAGCTTCACACAGAAAAGTTCTTAGTGATTCTTCATCCAAACGATGCCCATGTTCTCTAATAAGCTGGTTCATGACATTTCTGATCGATCTGATCTGCCTTTCCCATGCGCCTCCGAAATTGCTCGCAGATGCTGGATTCTTGATCCAATCGATGCTTTCCTTCAAGAGTTCTGCCTTAATCCTTTCATCGTCTATTTCTTCAACAGCTCTCTTGAGCTCGGCTTCCGCTCCGATAAAGTTTGTTCCTCTATCACATCGCATTTCTCTCACTGGTCCTCTTCTGCAAATAAAGCGTCTCAACGCTTGTAAGAATGAATCAGTCTCTAGAGAATCTGCTACTTCTACATGTACTGCACGGCTTGCTAAACAGGTAAACAACGCTCCATATCTCTTGACGACAGTTCTTCCTCGCTGAACATTCTACGGCCCAAAATAATCGACAGCGCAGTACGTGAATGGAGGTGCTGGTTCCACACGGCACTGGGGCAAGTCGGCCATCTTTTGCTCCCCGATTGTACCTCGAAGATAACGACAATTGACACACTTGGATATAAACCGTCTGACCATTGCGTTTCCATTTATGACCCAATAGCCACTGTTGCGTAGCTCGTTTAAGGTAATGCCCCGTCCACTGTGATGTGTTCTCTCGTGCACGTGGCTAATGATCAATGAAGTGACATGACATGACTTTGGTAGTACTACAGGGTTTTTCAGAGAGGCTGACAGACTTGCCTTTCGTATCCTTCCTCCAACTCTTAGGAGACCACTGTGATCCAAGAATGGGTCTAATGAATGAAGGGTACTTATCCTTTTCAATGCTGCCTTCTTTACCTTGTCTGATTCACGACTACCATACTTAATGTTGTCTTGTATATCCTGAAGATTCTTTATCTCTGATGTAAACGCTTCTCCTTGTACCAGTTTGATGATCTCAGTCTCAGCTTCTTCTAAATCCTTAACTGTAATCCAGGAGCTTCCTGATGCATCATGCTGGGCCTTCTCCTTGGGCGTATCAATCTCTTCGTCTTTAGACTTTACCTTCTCTCTAAGCTTTCTCTTGTATCTGAGACAAAGTGCAATAGCCGTCTTTGCTTTATGCTAGCTAGAGAACCTTTCCAACCTCTTGAGCATGTCGTTTTCTTTCACTACGTTTGCGTTAACTCTGATCTTCTTGACTTCAGGGGAATTTGGGTCAACGCTTTCTTCATAAGATTCTGCCTTAAGCCACTTGTCTCTTGGCTCTTGTAGGAAGTCAGGACCTTTGATCCACTTTGATTTCTCAACGAAATCTTTCGCTGACATACCTCTTGATCCTTCATCGGCAGGATTAGAACCGGTGTCGACGTAGTGCCACTGCGAGGGCAACGTGTGATCTCGAATGAGCTGTACTCGATTAGCCACATATACATGAAATCTTCTAGATTCATTGCTTATAAAGCCCAACACTACTTTGCTGTCCGTCCAGTAGTAATCTTCAATGTTCTCATACTCCAATTCGTCCTTCAATACATCAATGATCTTTACAGAAACTGCAGCGGCTGCTAGTTCTAATCTTGGTATGCTCACAGTTTTCTTGGGCGTGACTCTGGCCTTTCCCATAACAAAAGAGGTGTGAACGTTACCATGTTCATCTTCAAGTCTTAGGTATGAGCACTGTCCATATCCAGTAGTCGAGGCATCTGACATAGAATGCAGCTGCGTTGACACTATCTTTCCAAATTCTGCAGGCTTGAAACTTCTTGGTACGTTCAATTTCTCAAGTTGATAAAGCTCTTCTCTCCATTTCTCCCATCGTCTCCTGGTTTCATCATCAACAGGTTTCGTCCCAGTTGCTTGTATGGCAGATATCTTGTAGAATTTTCTTTCCAACTAGTACCACAGGCGCGATAAATCCTAGCGGATCATATACAGAGCTAATTGTCGATAAAATCCCTCTGCGAGTGCAGGGTTTGTCCTTTAGCTCTATTCTGAACTTGAATGTATCTGATTCGATGCACCAATGAACTCCTAAAACTCTTTCAATAGGTAACTTGTCTTGGCCAAGAGCTAAGTTCCTTACATTTGCAGCTCTATGTTCTTGAGGTACCGAATTGATGATGCGCTCGGTATTGCCGACAAACTTGGTCAAGTTGAATCCACCATTGGAACAGACTTTCCTTACATCTTTTGCTAGTTCAATGCCTTCATCTTCTGTTTGTGCAGATTTAAGAACATCATCTAGGTAGAAATTCCTTCTAAGAGTATTAGCCACTTTCAACCCGTATTCTCTTTCGTTGTCATCTGCCGTGCGCTTCAAAGCATAGTTGGCACAGGCAGGAGATGACCCTGCACCAAACAGGTGCACAGTCATGCAATATTCTTCTAACTCTTTATTGATGTCACCGTCTTGCCACCACAGGAACCGAAGAAGGCTTTGATCCTCCTTTCTTACTTTCACTTGGAAGAACATTTTCTCGATGTCCGCCATAAAGGCGTACCTTTCTTGCCTAAACCTCGTGAGGACGCCAATCAGTTTGCTTGTGAGGTCCGGTCCTTGGAGCAAGTTGTCATTCAGGGATTCACCTTCGTACTTAGCCGAGCAGTCGAAGACCACGCGGACTTTAGTTGGTTTCTGTGGATGATAGATCCCGTGATGAGGTAGATACCAGATTCTTCCATCTTTATCTGTTGACTGCGAATCGATCTTTCGTGCGTATCCCCTTGAGATGATCTCCATCATAAAGTTGCGGTAATCTGTGTAGTACTGGTCATCAGATGATAGACGTCTCTTCAGGCTGTTCAGACGTTTCTCTGCTTGGGCATAGTTATTTGGGAGCTGAAGGTTCTGATGTTTCAATGGGAGTGGCATCTCGTAGTGTAAATCTTCCAGATGAATGATGCCCTTTTCCACTGTATTATAAAACTGTAAATCCTCACGTGACATTGCAGTTCCCTTCTCCCTTTCGGAAAAGKCTAATTCAAACATCCTTTCMACTGCTTRAGTTGTTATTTGTTCCTTCACTGTTCTTTGAGAGACAATRTGTYYCTTGGCTGTAGAAGAGGCATTCTTCYCACTTAGTTGAATCCTGKTACACTTTAGGTTGGCATGGTGGCTGGTCTTAGAAGTGTTGATAGGTCCGTTGATGTACCATCCAAGTAGTGAACGTATTGCATAGRGKTCTRACTCATTTCCATAAACAATTTCTCTTRGTCGAAGTGCACTTGGGCAGTTCAATCMAWTKAGCAGTCCTACTTCAATATCTTCCATATAAGGATGTATTWCTTTACTTATGTCCTTCAAATGAGCTATTTTTCTTATTACAGCTGGTTGTGGTATTTCACTGCGATCGGCTGGAATRACTTCACGAGTGAATGTTCTGGGCAGTTCAATAACATCTGTACTCTTAAGACTAGCTACCATCARTCCTTCGATGGCTTTCGTTGAAACGTCAAATGTACCATTAAGGGTTGTCACAATAATGACAGTGTCACTTCCTTCGATACCAAGTCTTTTAGCTGATTCTTCTTTTATGAAAGTTCCGCCACTGGCATTATCCAGCAGTGCATAAACCTTTATCTTCTTGTCCGGATCATCTTTATGGTACAACCAAACTGGTAATATACTCATGTTGACAGGTATATCTCCAGCATCAGTTATGCTGCATACAGTAGTGCGACTGTTTACTTGAGGCTTGTTTCCAGGTTCCTTTCTTTCGCTCTGTCTCTTAGGTTTCCTTGTCCAATTGTCGTCGTGTAATGACGTAGGATGTTGCTTGCTGCAGGTCTTACAACTTTGCTTGTTCTTACAGTTCTTAGCGATGTGTTGGTCGCTGAAGCAACCAAAACACAGTTTGTTTTCCTTTACAAAGTCACGTCGATCACAAAGAGATTTCAGCAGGAACTGTTCACATTCATTCAAATTGTGCATTCCTTTACATAATGAGCATGTTATGTCTCCTTGATCCTCGGTCGTTTGTTTTACATCAGTTGCAAAGCTTGTACCTCTTCCTCTCCTTGGTGGCCGTTTACCAAATTTGAAATGCGTGACAACTTTGTCTTTCTCTTCTAAAGATAATTCATTTA